ATAATGAAGATTCTCTCAAGTTTAGATGGTGATGGTAGGATGTTGAGTGTGTGAATGCGAGCAAGGTAAATTGTACCACTTTATAGAATGTTAGACTGATTTAAGAATTTTCTGTTTTATGCAAATGTGTATTCTTGTTTCATGTTGCAACTTGTTTGAATGCTGGTTTCACTTAGGTCCAAAAGTCACAAATTGTGAGAAACCTCCATTATTTACTATATTCTAGGATGACTGATAATTTTGTTTAATCGTTTGATTCATGCTTTATCTTTGATTATTGTGATTTTGTGGAAGCATTAGAAATGATCAAGACATTTGTTTATACTGAGCACAACCGTATCCAAAAAGTAACTTACCCGTGAGTAGTGAGAATTTGTTAACCCCTTTGAGCCTAAACAATTTAGATCTCATTTTAGTGATGAACTTGATTTATGTACATAATTTGAAAGTTTAGTTCATCATTGAATGTTGTGAGATTCTAAAAAAAATTCTTGAACCTTTGAACATTGTTTAAATTGGTTTCATTGCCATAAAAAGCTAAGAGCATTCACTTGATGTTTGGTTGAATTCAAGTTGGGGACAATGAAAAGAAAAATGATAGGTTGCTAAAATTTTTGGAAAATTTCAAGCAAGCATGGAAAAAGTGTGAATATGAATGTGAATAACAAAAGAAAAAAAATGCTTGTTTGAAAAATAAAAATAGTAAATCAAATAATTGTGCATTAAGGTAGTTTGAGAAGGTTTTCAATTGAGAAAATAAAGTGTGAATGAAGTTGTGATGTGTAAATACCATGTATAGTAAATGTTTCTTTTACATTGGCAATTTTGTTTCAATGGCATTTAGAAATGTCCCTTTGTTGTGAACCCGACCAAGCTACAACCTTAAAATCTCTTTGTAATCTTTTTGCTTCCATGATTTTATTTTTGATTGATTAGATAAATATATGAATTGAATTGTTATTTGCATTGTTTGTCAGGTGAGTGAAATTGCCCCGCGGTTGCAAACACGTTAATTTCTTCATTCTTATTTTAAAGAGGAGTGTTAAAGTGATTCAAGTATGAGAATTTAGTTGTTATTTGAAACATTGCATGATATTTGTTTAAGAATTTAATTTTTCGATTCTATTAAGTGTCGAACGTTGTTTGTGCGCATCCTCATGCTTGACCAAATCCTCTTATTTGAGCAAATCTCTCTTATTTGAATTTGAACTATTATCCCTTTCTTGGCTAAATCTTATGCTTAAGCAAATCCTCTTGTTTGAGCAAATATCTCTTACTTTCATGAGGGGCATACTTTGCTTGAGGACAAGCAAAAATATAGTTGGGAAGAGTTTGGTAAGTTCAAATTTTGACTTAAATTGGACCATCTTTCTTGGCATTTTTCAACTTAATTATCATGTTCTAATATATTTATTTCTTGTTCTTGTGTGATTCTTCAACATATTCAAAATACCTTTGGATTCTTTGATGTGTGTGTTATTGTGCAAAATATAGGCATAAAACATCAATGATTAAGACAGAAATGATTGAACAAGGAAGGCAAAGAAATGAAGAAGAATCAGCATGTTCGTTGTGCGAACACCAACAAGAGAAAAGTGAATGGTCGTTGTGTGAGGTCCTGGAGAAGCCCCAGCGGACCATATCAGATTAGAGGTAGTAGGAAAAGAACCTAAAGTTCGTTGGGCGAATTTGTAGCGAAGAGGTTCGTTGTGCAAAGAAGTGCTCATACGACAAACTCAAATATTTTCCAAGCGTGATTTAATTGTTCCTGAAGCACTTGAAGTGCCCAAAAGTAGTATTCACTGGGCAAAGGAGGTGTTCACTAGGCGAATAAGACATATTTTGTAAATACTATTTTAGTACTTTTCTCACTTTTTAGAAAAAAACATGCACTTTTTGGGATCAGAACTTTATCTCTCTTTATTTCTTGGCATATTCTAGAGAGAGAGAGAGAAACACAAACCCTAAGAGGGAGAAGGTAAGAGCTTCAATTTCTTGTTGGGTTTGGATGTAATCTTTTGATACCTTATGTATTTCATCTAATATATGTTTGTGAACAAGTTTCGATTCAATATTAATGTTATCTTTGACTTCTTATTTGTGGGTCTTGACAAAATCTTTTCAAATCTTTGATCTAAGATACTCATCTATCAATGAGCAAACTTTTAACGTAGTCTTGTAAGTTGATATTCACTAGTATCCGTTTTATTTTATTGTGTTGATTAGTAGCTTAAGTAGCATGAGTATGATCAATACGGTAAATACCACAATATTGTTATTGATGCGAGCTATTTTGTGAGGATGCGTGGTAATAGTGATGAAGAACTATGTTCACATACATTTGGCAAATTAGGTGAGTGCATGTAAAAAGTGTTAAGCGTATGTGCGTATTCTGATCATGGCACTTTATGTGAATCAATCATGAATCTGATATGGGTGTCATCTTTGAATACCTGTTAGGTTGTAGACTCTAGACATAGATTTAGGTTTAGCATTTTCATGAGTATCAGTTCTTAATGCTTTGTGTTGTTGAGTTGCGTGAGACATCACCAATGAGGCAATATGGTTGTTCTCTCGACTTTGCGTTATATATAACCTCGGTTGTGGATGATACGTGAGGATATTAGACGACTGATTAATTTATGTTTAACTAGTTAGAAGAATGCATGCGTTATCAATTGATGAGATCCAATCACAACAAGACTTTGTTTATATTTTCAGTCTTTACTTTATATTTTCCGCTTTTATCCATTGTATTTTTGATCTTTCAACCATTTTGTAACTATAAGCTTAGAAATGTAGAGACCGTTGAACAAAATTCTTTCCCTCACACTGATCCCTGTAGAGACGATATAAATTATGGAGGAAATCCTTCCAAATCTAAATTTTTGTTACTTACCACTTTACTACAGTTATAACAGGTAGTAACCCAAATAAGATAAGAAAATGATGGTTGGAAAAGGAACCAAGAAGGACAAAGAAAAGAAAACAGAAATATCTAAAGGTTCACAAGCACCTCAAACAACTCAACCTACTCAAGAATATATGAATTAGTGACTTGAGTTTTATTTTGAATATCATGTGTGACTTAAGTAGTAATTTGGTTGTAATGTATGGATCTTAATGGTTTTATTTTGACTTAAGAAATAATGAGTTTTGTTTTGAATGTATGGATCTTAAGTAATTTGATTAATGTATGGATCTTAAGTAATTTGGTTAATGTTAGTGTTTCTGTCAAGTGATTAAGTTCAAACAATGTTGAATCTGGATGCTGTTCATTATGACATATATGTTACAAGCCTTATGTTGTGAATTGTAACCGCAATATTAAATGCCCTATGTTATCCATCGTGTGTTCTAAATTACAGGCCTTATGTTGTCCAAATCTTACAAGCATTATGCATTCACAATGTTAGCATTATGCAGACAATGTTTACAACCATTATGTCATCGCAATGTTACAAGCATTATGCAGTCAATTACAAGCATTATGTAGTCAATATGAGCATTATGCAGTCACAATGATATAATTATGTAGTCAATATGAGCATTATGCAGTTACAATGTTATAATTATGTATAATTATGTAGTCATAATACAATAAACAACATAATTGAATTGCTAAAACTTGAACCAATTGAATTGTTAAAACTTCATTCGTTCATCCACGAAATGTATTACAATATTGTGGATAGCTTGTTACAACATAAATCAAGCAACGTAGCAAAATAACCTAAAACATATTCACCTAAAACCTATTTCATCAATGTTGAACTAATTAAAGCAAACAACATAACAAAAGTCATCATCCAATTGAACTTCAATTACTTTTTCAACATCTTCATTTCTTCTTCTTTTGCTTTGTAGGAATTAAACTTCTCAGGTTCTTTATTCAAACTCTTTAGTAATGTAAAGATTAATTTTTTTGCCATAGGATTCATCACCTCATCAACCAATAATTTTAAAATTTCATTCGTTCTAAAAACATCAATGGAGATGGAGATGAATAAATGTCAAATCATAAAAACTCAATAAATTGTAAAAACTTAAATATATCTCATACATTCCACATCCATAGAAACGACAACCTGAGTTCACATCCGCCTATACCATCACCAATGGAGCATTCATACCACACTTGCATTCGTACCTCAAACTATTTGTAGATCTACTTCCATGGCTAAAAAAGAACTGCCACGACATCTTACAATTCTTCAATCGAAGAAAATGCTAATGAGCTTCGAATATGACAATGGACTTCGAAGAAGAGGATGAACACAATGAAGGTGCGAAGAAGACGATGAAACCTAGAAACGTGAATAATGAAGGAATTTTATAATTTTTAAAATTTTATAACTATATAAATTAACACGTTTAATAAAAAATGTTTTAAATATTTTTAATTAAATATTCATTTAATTTTAAAAAAAGTCAAACTTATTATATGATACCATTGGTAAACCAAATTGGAGGAGACTACAAAAATTTCAAAATAATAAAATAAAATTAAGAGACAAGAAAACTGAATTTTAGTATTTTAAAAAACTGAACTATTTAGATAAAAATTTCGTCTAAAAAAAAGGATACTTTGAAAAAAAAAACAAAATAGAAAGGGAATAAGAGAAAAAGATATATACTAATAGTATTGAAGATAAAATGTTGAAGAATATATACAAAGTAAGACTAAAAAAATACTAAAAAATAAAAGAAAGGGAATGAATGGCATTGTTCCTTCCTTCCCAGAGTGTGAAAGTCATCATAATGATGTACACTAATTAAAAACAAAAAAGCAGTACCGCACGGGGGAATGAATGAGTATAGAGCAGTAGTTACTCCATCATTATTATTACAGACAAGTAGTAAAACAAAACAAACTCCGTTTGCGTGTGGGAACGTGGAGGGTAAAAATAAGATAAGAGAAGAAGAGATAGAAAGAGAAAGAAAAAGCGAAAAAAAAGTAAGGTGTTATTATTATTAGAGTGAAATTCGTGGGGAGGGGCATGGAAGGCCTGGCCATGCTGAAGCAGCTAATCGGTCAGCTTCAGCACCTCCTCGATTCTCAATCTCATCATCATTCTTCCCCTTCTTCTTCTTTCATTCTTCAACAACCTTCTCATCACACTATCCTCCTTCAACAACACCCCAGGTCTCTCTCTCTCTCTCTCTCTCTCTCTCTCTCTCTCTCTCTCTCTCTCTTAGTAGATCTATTTTTCACTTCATTCGTTGCTTTTAAATGACCTTTCAGCCCCTTCTTTCGCCCCTTTCTTTTGGTCAATCGTTTTCTATTGTTAATTTTTATTATTTATTTATCTTTGAAGCGAATTAACCTGTTAGGTAAGTTAGGTTGATTCTGCTATGTAATGCGTGAGTGCGGTATTTCAACACTTCACATTCCAATTCCGATTATCCTTTTATGCTCAACATTTTCCATTCCACGCTTTTGGGATGGAAAACAAAACGATGCCCTAAATTTCTACTTTTCCTAATCTCTGTAAGATTTATTTCTTCCTAATCTATTTTTCTATGCATTTGTTTCTCATTCCTCAATTTCATTTGTTTTTCACAAATTCGAGTTCAGTATTTCATGTTTTATGTTGATTGAAAATCTCCTTGTTCCTGGGGTTTTTTGGGTTTGGAATTCGTGTGTAATTTTGAATGCTAATTTGGAGTTTTTATTATTTCATATACAACCTTACTGTATAATTTAGAGAGAACTATGATACTACTTTTTTCTCTTGCCAATAACTGCATTTTTTTCCCCTAGGCGGCAAGGTTTTTATGTCACACTATTATTGGTATTTTGGAAATTTGCTATCAAAATATGCTTGATGTGGAAGTAATTGTAGTCAAGGTTTTAAATAAGGATCCTGGTGGTCGCGGTCGTGTAAAGACTTGCGATTTCAGTCAGTGTGATTCATCACAATTTATTCTTCGCAAAAACGGTAAATGACTTGATACCGTTTTGTCATGGCCGTTTTCACGGCAACGGACTATTTTTTAAAACCTTGATTGTGGTTGTAATTTGCAAAGCTGTATAAGAGACATCAAGCAAGCTTGATACTGCGACCACAATTGTAGTTGTTGGCTGATTTTAAAACATTGATTGGCAGCAAACAATCTTCTCGAAGATCATTTTCAGATCATGTCCTTTTGTTTGATTGTTTGGTTTTACAATCACACACACACGTTCTGTTTGTTTTGATTGACATTGTTAGGTAATGGATTGTGTGCATTGTTTCTGCGCTGTAGCATTTTGCATAGAAAGCTTTGAGTTGTTAGTTTGCATCTTACTCACATTCCTTGTATGGTCAAGATGATATGATCACGGATGGAACTTTTAGTGAATTTTTATGAAAAATTCTAGTGTGTTAAATCCTTTTCCTTAAGAAAGAAGGAATTGTGTAGGTTGTTACTTGTACATATTTAAGGGGAGGACAATTTTGTGGGTTGTTACGTTCTAACTATTCCTTCTGGTTCAACTCGCTCCTTTTTAAACTCTAATTAGATTTAGATCCCCACAGCTACTATATTGTTGTTTTATCTCGTTGAAATGAACACGGGGTTTCTGAGTAGTACTTTCCATCTACTCCTCCTAGGAATAAGATGCTCGAGATCAAGTATATATTTTCTTTATTGCACACCGAACATGTATTTGGTTGAGCGTTTCTAAAAGTTGTTTCCAATAAGCTTGATCACGAAAATTTAATTTGGTTAAAATTGAGTTTGAAGTGCTGTGATTAAGTTTATATATTTTACTTTAGCACCAAGGTTGTTAGTTTAAAATTTTCCATCTAATGCGAAAGTAATTTTTAGCATCTTATGAAATTGAGATTTGGAGGTGAAATCAATAAGTAGCCAAATATTTATATTTATACCAAAATCATGTTATGGGGACCAGACATGATTTTTGAAAGGTTTGAACATGAATCCAAATATGGTAGTGTAAATTATGTTTCTTGTACAAAGGTAAGGTAGTTTTGAAAATATTGTAAAATCCTTTATAATTTCTTTTTCCCATACAACAGTGATTATTTTTCTTAATACGTGTGAAAAGTCTAAAACGACTTATAAAAGAAAAGGAGAGAGTATTTGAGTTTATCCTATTAGACCTATTGCTAGGTTTCTCTCACCATCTGCGTTTTAAGCTCATTAGGGTTCAAGTGTAAGGTTGGAGTCGAGTCTTAGAAGCTATCTTAGAAGCATAGAACTTCTGTCTGAGTGACAATATTATATAGTGTTAGCATGATACCTATAGTGGAAAAAGTGGTAGAAACGAGATTTAGAAGGTTTGTGTATGTAGAGAGAAGACAAAGACATGTGAATTTTGTAGTAAGGAGAGTGTATTAGAAGGAAGGCAGGCAAATCTCTAGAGGTAAAGGAAGACCTAGATAGACTGTTAAGAAAAGTCTTTAGATTAGAAACATGCTTTTTTTATAGAATATTATGATGTAGTTTGATCCATGTAGCACACTCCACTAAGTAGTTTCATGTAACCTGCCATTTGCTTTGATATCTTTTAGCTTGCATGCAAAGTCCCTTGGTATAAATGACCCTCTCACACAGGTTTGGTCTGCATGTGTTGGAGTAGAATATCAATTTGTATTTTTGCCGCTGTGTTCTGAAATTTGCTTTTTTATGTTTTTTTTGCCTTACATTCTGGTGTCAATCATGCTGATGACCCTGTGGATGTTGCTTTGTCCATTTTGCAGATGGACTGCATTTGACATCGAAAATAGCTCTGGAGATGATTGTTTTGGCATTGAAATGGCAGCTGGAAAGTCTCACAGTTTCAGGTTGCAGGAGCCTCTAAAGCCTCCACCCACTAAGAAGCCTCGAAGAGATCGAAGTAGGGGAAAATCGTCAGGAAGATCCTGTACAAGTGAAGTTATGGAGCAAGAAATCTGGAAAGATTTTCCTGAAGATTTATTTGAGGCGGTAATTGCACGACTTCCCATTGCCACTTTTTTCCGCTTCCGTTCTGTATGCCGTCGATGGAGTTCTTTGCTGGCTTCTCAAAGTTTTTCTCAGCATTGTGCCCAAGTCCCACAAGAAAATCCATGGTTTTACACCATAACCCATGAAAATGTGAATTCAGGAGCCATGTATGACCCTTCTTTGAAAAAGTGGCATCATCCTTCTATATCAGCAATGCCCACAAAGTTGATTGTTTTGCCAGTGGCTTCTGCAGGGGGATTAGTTTGCTTTTTGGACATTGGCCATCGAAACTTCTATGTATGTAACCCGCTGACTCAATCCTTCAAGGAGTTGCCAGCTCGATCAGTGAGGGTCTGGTCTCGCGTTGCTGTAGGGATGATAGCGAATGGAAATTCTGCTGGTTCAGGCTACAAGATCCTATGGGTGGGTTGTGATGGAGAATATGAAGTCTACGACTCAGTGAAAAACTCTTGGAGCCGTCCAGGAAACATGCCTGGAAGCATGAAGTTGCCACTGGCCCTTAACTTTAGGTCACAAGCTGTCTCTATTGACAGTACACTTTACTTCATGCGTTCAGATCCAGAAGGGGTTGTTTCTTATGATATGGCAACGGGAGTTTGGAGACAATACATAATCCCAGTGCCATTGCATCTGACTGACCACACTCTGGCTGAGTATGATGGCCATATCATGCTCGCAGGATTGCTCACAAAGAATGCAGCCACGTGTGTATGCATATGGGAGCTGCAGAAAATGACGCTCTTGTGGAAGGAGGTAGACAGAATGCCAAATATATGGTGCTTGGACTTTTATGGTAAGCACGTTAGAATGACTTGCCTGGGTAACAAAGGCTTGCTCATGTTGTCCCTGAGATCAAAACAAATGAATCGGTTGGTTACTTACAACATAGCAAAGAAGGAATGGCTGAAGGTTCCTGGGTGTGTGGTGCCGCACGGGAGGAAACGGCAGTGGATAGCATGTGGAACTGCATTTCATCCATGCCTGACTGCTGTGGCTTGATTTTCTTGGTATCTTACAACAACAGCCTGCCATATTTTCACTCCAGTTTTGTTATTCATCGATATTTGCAGGCCATCGGTGTTGTTGTACCTAATCCCAACGTTCATCTCTGGTTTAACAGAGTAGATGAAAAATAATGCGGGTTTGTGCTGATTCATGTTTCTTCATGCTTGCAAGCATGTAAAGTTTACTTTGGTTTCCTGTCACAGATGCTTTATGAATTTTTATCCTCTAACACCTCGGTAATAGGTGGTATAAAACTGCAGTTTCTTTCTGTATTCAGTAAGTAAATGGTTTTCTGTAAGGACTAAAAAGTTTTGGTACATTTTGAGCCTTGGACATTGTCCACGAAATGTTCTGCTATCATTTGGTCATGTTATGCCAAACCCTGTTCTTGCATAATTTTTTACGTTTCTAGGCACAAACAGATTCAATGAACAACCTTATAAAGTTCCTTCATTGTGCAGATAATCTTTGTTCATGGTTAGGCTTTTGACAACATAATAGAGTTCAAACACGCAACTTGTTATTCGTATAATCAAGTGGTGATAGTTTGCATTTTATTTAATAGGGATACACAATTATAAGTAAATCTGGTAAGAGTTGCTTTCAAGTACTTGGCTTCTTTACGGTTGTGCAGTGCTTATAAGGACAGTTAGATTTAAAAAATCAATTCTAAAACTCTCAGAGACTTCTCTCTCAGAAATTTAGTTGTCCTTACTACTACATATTATTTCTCTATGTACATCTACTATCCTTACTCTAATAAGTTGTAGAGAAATTCCAAAAAGTAATTATTTATTAAAAACTGTCCCATATATTTCATGTTTTTTAAATCTGATTTAAAAAATGTTCTAACTCTGTCTAGATGCATCGTATATATCACGTGTATTTAATTTAGGATTTTAGTAAAACAATTTAGGAAATTACTAAGATGCATTTCTGTCCCCTCTCCGTAGCATCAACACCCGTTGCCACACTATCGACATATACTGTTCCGATTAATGCCCAGGTACATCAACACCTCCCTAGCACATTAACACCTCCCTATGCTTTCTCCACCGCAACCTCTGTTTGGGTCTTCAAATAAAGTTATCACTTTACAATACTTCTAAAATAGGAAATTGTATCATTTTCATTCTTCATCTATCATCATTATTATTATAATATGATTTTCTAAGATATTTTGTTTTAAGAATGGTTGATGGTGATGGGCTGATGGCGTTTTTATGAACTCTAATATGAATGTCCATAATATGTCCGATGGTAAGGTGTAAGTACAAACACTTTGTTGATCGAGTCAATAATACGGTAAGTGAGGTTTAGATTTTAAAATAATATGTACTCAATCTGATTTTTAGTCTCTTATTATATATTCACTCTGTCTTATAATGAGTGATCTATTTAAAATAAAATTGTATTTCAAAATGTATGAAGGAAGAAAATTGAATCACGGAGAAAGTAATAGACGGAGGAAGTAACAGCGTTTTAAGATTTGAAATCACAAAAATCTTTATGAAAAACTGTTATAAATCTTTATGGAGAACCGTTATAAAGAACAATATTAAAAGATTACCATCCAACAGTTTATGATGACCAATCAAGAGTCCAATACATTTTGAGGTGTAAAACTACATATTTTAAATGAATATATTCAAATCATTAGCAGTGTTTTTCAAACTAGTAATTTTTCTTCTTCTTCATTACGCTTTAGAGTACAAATTATTTATTAAAATAATACAACTGATTTTGTTTAATATTTATTTTTCAAATGATAATAATGATATTGATTTTGTTTAATATTTATTTTTCAAATGATAATAATGATAGATAAGTAACTTCAAACACGTTAGAGAAATGATTGTAGTATTTAAAATTCGTGATTAATTTTAAATCTTTTTTGATTAAGATCATAGTAATTTCAAGTGAACAATTTTCAGCAAAAATAAAATATTAAAGACAAATTGCAGAAAATAAAAGGATAAGGTTAGAAAGATTCCATAAAATATTTATAGGGTCTTGCTAACCGGTGCCCTCAGGGTACTATTTAAACATTCCATATTAAGAAATTATTCTTTAAAAAATTCAAACACTTCAATTTCCAATGCACATTATTACACATCATTGCACATACTTTTATAAAAACTTACTATTTAAAGTTTTAAAAAGTGCCCTGAAGGCACTGGTTAGCATTTTCCATATTTATATAGGTTGATGGAGCGTTAACCTAATTTTGTTTTCAAAAGATCTTTTTGAGAGTTTTGATTATAAACTTTTAAGTTTTTGAAGGATATGTTTACAAACTTTAATATAATATGATCTTGAGATTTTTACCCTAGGTTAAATTAAATGATCTATTTAGAGATTTATAATTTATTTTAGTAACCATAACAAAACTTTTACCGACAAAACTTAAGAAACTAAATATAAAGATTTTATAACAGATTCATCTCAAGATACATCTTATGTGTTATCCAACTTGCTGACTCTAGTATGAGATAAGGATTTCCTGAATCGTTAGATCAATTATGTGATCTAGATAATTTTAGAAAAAACAATTTAGGGAATGACTAAGATGTATTTATGTCTCCTCTCTTTCGCATAAACACCTGTCACCACTCTACTGACATATATTTGTTCTGATTAACGCTCATTCACATCAACACCTCCCTAGTAGCACATTAATACATCTCCATGCTTTTTTCATGGCAACCTCTATTTTTTTTTTAGAATTTTATTTATACTAGGATTGAATCATAGTTACTCACATTCTCAACTAGCCCATAATTTTAGCAACTACTTTATATTTTTTGTGATGTGACTCTTCAAATAAAGTTAGAGAAATTTTAATTTCACCCTTAGCGTTGTTTTTCACATCCTTAAAAATTTAAAATTGTCCTTCATGACAAAATGTGTTATTCTAAGATCTACCCTATTTTGAATAAAATACGATCTGAAGATGCATCTATGTAAATTATTTGGGTGTATCCGGAGATACATCTCCAAAATGTTTCCGGAAGTCCTTTTATAGGTATTGAAAGTGTGATAACTGCAACGGGAGATTATTTCAGAGATGCATCTCCGAAAATCCCCTGAATGGTTACAGAAAACCATCATTGTCCCAACATTATTATTTTTTTAGGTCAAATTATATTAATGTAAAATCAAATTAAAATCGCAGTACAATCAAGTTTAAATAAATGTAAATGAAAGTAAAAAGTCATACATAAATTCAAAAATGCAACACCATGCATAATATTTGTCCAAAAATAAAAAAATAATACATCTAAACATAAACTACTATGTATGTTGAACCCTCTGCCTTCACCTCCTTTGACTGAACTGCACGGTATTTCATAACTCTGCAATCATGTTTTCCACGAGGGCCAACTGGAGACTTCATTCTCAAAGAGTCCTGACTCTATTCCTGCTCTACTAATCCCCATAACACGCCTGCAGACTTCTGTGACGCTCTTGGCCTGATCATTATGAGCTTCAAGTACGTTCTGGTTAGCTGACCTATGTGGTATTCCAAGAATGTCTAGTGTCATGATATGGTGTGACACCCTATAGAACCATGCCATGTAACCTCAACAACAACCTAGTGTACAGGAGCTGGCATCATGTGATACTTCTTTGGTACTATGTGACTCTTGAAATCATCTAGTATCACACCAAAATCTCTGCGACAAACACCGGGAGGAGCTGACTCATAGGGGGGTCTCAGAATAATCTATAAGTAGTCAAACTAGCGCATCACTTGTAACACCCCACTTCCCAAAATCAATTAAATTAATAAACATTATAAATAAACAAAATCAGAGTTCCAATTTCCCAAGTGGGATATCACATGAAAACAACGTTTCCTTATAAAAAGGTTTTTCTCCAAATACAGCGGAATATTAAATATAAAACCCAATAAAAGTTTGATACGTTCACAGGAAAATAAAATATAAGTTCTTCATAAAACAAATAAAAGCGCCCAAGTCCCGTGCTACGTATCAGAGCATCCTAGACTCGACTGTCACACCATAATCCAAGCTAGCTAAGTACCTGGATTATCTGTACTTCCGGAGAAGCACAGACACAACAACAGCAAAGGGGTGAGAAATCATGATCAAAAATATAATGGTAATGTAATACATGTAATAAGGCAGTAAAACACACCAACACATCAATTATTCACCCCAACAACACCATATAACGAACCTACTGTTCAAATTACAATATAACATATTATAATGCAATTATGCAACTCAACACCATGCATGCGGTACCGACTCATTGGTTCATTCAATCGAACCTGGATAGATCACTTACGCTCCTCCTGAGACATGATCTATCCCCCACCATTCTCCACAAAGGAGTACGGATGAATCACTTACGCTCCTCCTGAGACATGATTCATCCCACCAAAACACCATGATATGCAAGACACCAATGCATAATTATTATATTCTGGCACGCTAAGTGCACACGATCCTCCTGATCATATCATCATACAACAATGCATATGTATAGATATATTACACCAACACCATATAAATCAATCAGATAGTAAACGAATTCATACTATCACACCGGATATAACTACGTCCCCCCCCCCCCCCCCCCACTCGGGGATACACGATCCTACTGATCACTACACACATATACATTACTAATTGCTCACCAACAATATTAAGGGAAACACGTACTATCCCCAAGTACACAAGTTATATCCCATACTCATCATTTTCACACTACAACAAGGCTAGAAGGATTACACGAGACCAATTCAGACATCTCACCAAAAGTCTCTGAGGTTACTCAGAACCTCCCTAAACCAACACCTCAGCCTATACACCAAAATCAATAATTCATCAACATCAATCCACAATCACAAACATGCCAATAGATATTATACTTACCAATTATCCTATAATTTCTACTCTAGAACCGACATTACGGTACATTACCGACACTTCAGAGTCACTCTGAATCTCACCAAGGTCCTAACC